ATCTAATTTTCTTTGGAAAGAAAAATTTCTAATTAATGCAAAGATGTGAATATCAATTCAAAATCAATTCAAGAAATATATGTATTTTTGCGATACGAGTATGTGATAAAGAAGCGATTTATCGATCTTCGAGATTATTGAGGATGCAGGTAAGAGTCAAGGATACGCAAAATAACTACCGATCTATCGCAAGTCGATAAAGAAGATATCACTGTAATAATATCAACAAGTTAAACAATAGACGTAGATTTTAGCGAGATTTTTATTTCTACTTAGTGATAATAATTTAATTAAAAACTAATACTTACATAATTTAATTAAAAATGTTTACATAATTTTATCTATCAAAATTTACTAATTTACTATTTTAATCAACTTGATCATTACGTTAGAAATAAACGGTACACAATATTGTCTTAATCTTATAATTTAAAAATGTAAAATTTCTTTGCTGCCAATATATCACAAATTAAATGAAAATAAAACTAAAACATCGGAATCTTAAATATCATTTTAGTCATCTTTCTTTCTCATCGAAGACACAGTGCTCTGCAAGTAGAACAAGAAATTTTTCTTGAAACGCAACAAAAATTCACGATGTCGTTATGAACGCACACATTATCGGCTCTCAATATTATTTTCTATTCGTATCATCGTTTCCCTCTTCGGGAAAAGTGACTTTCTGATATTTTACGTTAGAAAGACGTGTATCAAATTCAAAATCGAATCTTATGTACACGTGACTTCTCCTCACGAGAGGGCTACAAAGGAACCGCTGCTCTTCTGCCGAGTTATTCCTTGGATAACTCGACATAGACAGAACGCGAATGGACGTCGGAAGCTGTGAGTTATCTATGAGAACGTCACGGTCCATCACCCGCGACTCCATCCGCGCGGATGCTCCACTCTTGCATGTTACCATCTGCACGGCACCGTTACCGCCGCGTTGTCTTAACCAGAGTTCTCTTGAGCGGCGCACAATCGCGAAGGTGTATTTGAACGGTCGATCAAAAAATTAATTTAAATCAAATTAATCTCTAGACTCTTTGGTATGGTATACTTGACTTTTTTCCAATGCTTCTATTGCTTATAAGTTTTTTATTAATAAGAATACAATAATATATAGTAACGTTATGCTTTTTAGGTCCGCGATTTTCTAATTAACTTGTAGTTTGGATTTAATCTCAGTAAGTTTTAACTGTTAGACTACAAAACCATCAGTTTAGTGATTAATCATAGCTAAAAAAGGACAATTTTTACAATAGCATTAAATCTAACAAAAAATGATTGAGCCTTAATCTCTGGCGTTTCAAAAAAAAAAATGTTTACAATATTTTTATGAAAGTTATAAGCAATTGAATTAAGTTAGGCATGCCAATGTGTTGTTCCCGATGATACATTTAAGGATTAAGTTTTTAATTTCAAAAAGCTGTTTGTTGCAGATAAAAAACGATCAGAGAATAAATTGATATTATTATAGGTATTTATTACGGCAAAAACTATTAAGATAAATATTAAAAACAAATTAAAATAAATTAAAATAAAATTGCCAAAAAAGAAAGATTATGCTAATTATTAGATGTTGATAATTAATCTATTTTTTAATATTTATCAAATCGATATAAACATTAAATCATACATACGTTTCAAGTCTTGATCAAGTCATCCTCAGTGTGAAACAAGTAATTAGACTGATTGAAAATAGAAATGAAAATAAAAACAAAAAGATTGCAATGTAAATTAATTACATAAAAATAATTAATAATTTAAATATAATAAAACGTTAATGATGTCATTAGTAATAAAAGTATTCATGAAGTTACATTCTATTTCGATAGAAGAATTAAGAGTACAACAATAAACGAGATCGCGTGATCAAAACCATTATAAAAATAAACATTAAAATAAAAATTAAAATAAATAAATATAAAAATTAAAATAGATAAATATTAATTAAATTAGTGAATGGAAACGAAGAATTTTTAACGGATAATTAATCAAGTTTCCACATATTTCTATGAATTATTCGATAGTTGTTCATTATTTATCGTTCACAACAATAATTGCTGTAAAAGCTGCACATCCAATGCATGGAGAGCTTAGAAAGCGAATTCTCTCATGAATATGAAGGGTTCTTCTTCGGTGAAAATGTATTCGAGCATCGCATGTTTTCATAATGCTCTCGTCTTATGGAATACGCTGAATATTTCTGTTAGTCACGAACTCGTTCGCAAAAATCATCGTGCAGATTCTCGGGCCATGCCCGGGGAACAACCAATGATTCTACATTTCTCGCGGAACCGTACATCTTTTCCGACACACTTCTCCAATACTTTTTTTATTACACGTTATTTGTTCCTTTCTTTCCCAAGATGCGAACCGCATTCGCCTCGTTTCAAGCACAAAAACCTACTGGCATAAAGAGCGGGTCAGTTTTTCCGATTCTTGATGGTCAGCTGGAGGTTGCGTTCCCGATGAAGTCGTCGATATCGACGCTGAATCCGACGTTCACGCTGCTTCGCGGTGAAGAAAAACACGCGAACTATGGCCGAACGGTTGTTGCGCACCGCAGACAATGATTAGCGTCTACGTCAAATCTTATGCCTAACAGATAGCTGCAGACTTTCACCGAGATGAATCGCGCGGTCGGGAAGAATACGCGTTCGATCTTTGGAGAAAGGCCGCGCTGTGCCCCAAACGTGTTACTCGACATCGTGCCCAGGATGGAAAAACCGTGTCCACGATGGAAAAATCATGATAAAGTGAGAGCCTATAGATGACGGCCACAAAGTAATAATGGAGAGGTATGCTCTCTCTCATACGATTTGCAAAAATGATTACCGATGTGTTGGATTTATAAAGAAGAAACACAGTTTGACGTATCTACAGAGATTGCACCTCTCTAGATTTAAACTTTCTAAAATAATTCGCGATTTATGTTTATCTGCTAATTAAGGCAAGTAAATCTATCGTAACACTTGCTTCTGCGTTTTCTTGGAAGATTTACTAAATAAGAAAAATAGGAAGAAAAAGAAGAAGAAGAAGAAGATAAATCTTTGTCTATGTATTTTCTGCAATTTCATTACCGACATAATTGTTAGTTTTCATCCACAAATATATATAAATCAATTTAACAGACTATAAGTCTTATACAGAAATGAGCAGAAAATGAGCAGAAAGTTTATAGCTTTAGGCAGCGCATGGAAATTTCTCTCTATTCGAAAGGTGAAGATATACGTGGGAGTTCAGTCGAGGTCTATTAGATCTCAAAGTAATATTCTTAAGATCAAAGCGGCGAACAGCGACGGCTACTTCAAACAGCAGTTCCTATCTTATAAATATTTCTCGTGATTTCCAATTATGCAAAAGAACGAAAGAAATAGAGAGGAAAGGCAGACTTCTCTCCTCATAACTTGTCACCAATATCAATTAATAGTCCGCAAAATCTTCTTCACGGTTGATTAAGAGGCACTTGGCGGTCCAGAAACGACTGGTTCCAGCTGCAAAACTCGCCCCTGTCTTTCATCGACAGCTTTCTGGCGGGGCCGAAAGACGAAAAGCACAAGTATAATCCCGGACAAGCGCGGAACCGAGGCGAACACGACGAGGGGCGACGGAGGGAAGAAGAGTGGAAGGTGGATTGGCGGAGATGCAGCTTAGGATTCCGAGTATACCCGAGCAGTTTCTGGTTGGTTGGTAAGTGGGACTAGCGGGGACTCATAGGCACGTAGCGTCCTACGCGAAGCCGCAGTCGGGCTCAAACCCCGAAACAATCTCATCGCGGGTTATCTTCCATCCACACCGGTCTCTCCGAGCACAGTACCAACAGCACCAACAATAACGATAACACCAATAAAGACTCGCGAACAGTACGGTTCACGGCCTCGGAAGAGTTCAAGAACGCGGAAGAGGGTGCGAGACAGAATTTTGTCTTTTGTCACTGCGATCTTGGCTGCCAGTCCGAGTCGCGTGATCACCGTAGCTGTCAAATCACTGCCATCGGCGATTGTCAAACGATCCCCTGTATATTCGATCGCGGTAGCGCGCGAATCGTAGGAGGTTTCCTTTTGAGAAAAAAATCGGTTGAAGCAATCAGGAATCAAGGAGAAATCAGAGAACGATTGGTGGATTGGAGTCGACTGATCTACCGGCTTATCAGTGGCGTGCAGGGCGTGCGAGAAGTACACCTTCCTTCTTTCCTATCAGAGATCGCGGTCGAGGTCGCGTTCAAGGTGGCGCGAGGACGAAAGTCTATAAGGTCCAGGGTCAATCTACCTACGCGCT